CTCACTGTGCAATCTTTCAAAAAAACTAAAATTTGCTTACTGACCATTTCTCATATTAGGGATAATTAGAATTAGTACATCTCTGACTAAAAATAATAATTTTACCAAAATAATTTTTTTTATCATACCAGGACTAATAACGCTAATTATTACAATAAAAACAATATAATTTCAAACTAGTGAAGAAATCAAATTCTTTTACAAAGAATGATATAAAATTGGCCCAACAAATTTTACTCCAACTGTTAAAGATAGCAAGAAGTACATCAACCAAAAATGTCCCACCTGTAACAATTTTGAAATTAGTTACAGTATTATGATAAATATTAATGAAAATCTTATACAATTTCCTATCTTAGCAATACTATAAATATTAGTGAAAAATTTTATCAAATTTTCTGTTCTCGTAATACTGTCAATATTAGTGCCAATTTTTATACTGTTGCTAATTTTAGTAATACTATAATAATTAGTGCAAATTCTTATATAAATTCCAGCCTTCATGATACTATAAATATCAATTTTTTATGCAGTTTCCCATCTTAGTGATATAATAAAAATTAGTTGAAATTTTTATACAGTTTACATTTTTAGTCAAACTATAAATATTAGTTCAAATTTGATACCATTCCCCATTTTATTAATCGTATAAAAATTAGAGCAAATTTTTAGACTGTTCCCAGTTCTATTTATATTAGTGCAAATTTTTATACAATTACCTATATTAATATTATTATAAAAATTAGTACAAATTTTATAGTTTCCAGTCTTAGTAATACTATAAATGTTAGTGCAGATATTTTTACAAGTATTAATTACAATCTAAAATTGAACCAAATGTGTCTCTATTGTTAAGTTACTTTGTTGAAAACTGAAGCCATTCAATACACGTGTGTACAAGAGTAGCAGACAACATTTTTCACTGTAGTTTATTTCCATGATTTTTATTAATGGGAAGAGATGTGTGCTGAATAAAAAGACAAAAATCAAAAAAATAATCAATTGTGTTGCAGCAGCACTTTTCTTTAAAAAAAAGGAGTCTTTTCAGATAAAGGAAATTTAAAAAGAAATAAAAAACAAACTTGCCTGTGGACCTATGATCTGTTTTTCCATTCATTTTTTATTCTAACAGTGTCTTTTCTGTAATATGATTGGTTGTAAAAGAGCATATCCCTAAAAATGATTTAATATTTGACCAACCATACGTAGTATGATTTTAGAAGATTATTTTAAATTTATATGCATATTTGTTCTCTGTTTTTTCCCTCCTTTGTTCATTTGCACTCTTTCCTTCATTTTCTCTCTCACTTCTTATCCTTTCTTGTTCATTCCTTTTCTCTTCTTTCATTTCTCTTTTTTCTTTCTTTCTTAATTCTTTTCTTTTTTCCATTTTTTTTTACGTTTTTTTGTTAATCCCTCTTTTTTTCCCTTTTTGTTTATTCCCTCTTTTTCTTCTCCTTTTTGCTCATCTGTCTCCCTTTTTCTTTTTTTATTTTGCTCATTCCCTCTTTCTTTTTCCCTTTTTGTTCCTCCCTGTCTCTTTTACCCTTTTCTGTTCATTCCCTCTATTTTTTTCCCCTTTTGTTTCTCCCCCTCTCTTTTCATCATTTCGTTTGTCCCCTCACTCTTTCCACTTTTTGTTTGTCTCACTCTCTTTTTCATTAATCCCCTCTCACTTTTTTCCTTTTTGTTAATCTCTCTCTCTTTTTTCATTTTCGGTCATCCCTCTCTCTTTTTCTATTTTCGTTCATTCCCTCTCTCTTATTCCATTTTTGTTCATTCCCTCTCTCTTATTCCATTTTTGTTCATTCCCTCTCTCTTTTACCATGTTTTTCTCATCCATCTCATTTTTTCTCTTTTTTATTCATTCCCTCTTTTTTCCCCTTTTTGTTCCTCCCTGTCTCTTTTTCCCTTTTTTATTCATTCCCATTAACTCTTTCCTTATTTTTTGTTTGTGCCCTATCTCTTTCCCCTTTTTGTTCGTTTGTCTCCCTTTTTCTCTTTTTCATTAATCCCTTCTTTCTTTTTTCCCTTTTTTGTTCATATCTCTCTTTTTTCTCATTTTTGTTCATTCCCTCCCTCTTTTCCCTATTCTTTTTCATTTTCTTTCTTTTATCCTTCTTTTTCATTTTTCTCCTTATTCTCTTCTTCATTCATTCTCTATTTTTCTCTTCATTTGTTCATTCTCTGTTTTGCCTTCTTTTTCATTTTTTCTCTCTTTCTCTCCCTCTCTTTAAATCTCAATAAAATGAAGTAAATATTTTTCTATTTTACATCACCAAAGTGTGTTTATATAAAATCATATAAAATGCTGTGACGCTTTTAGAATTAGAAAAAAGTACTGACAAACAATCATTTGATTTGATATAAGAATTCAAATGCTGATGTTCATGCTTCCTTGCCATAACCAGATTTGGAACTAAAACTGTAAGCCTGAAAGCATATTATTCAACTAGATACTTTATTAAGTTAATAACTCAGATCCGCACTCACATATTCTTATAATTCTGAGATAAAGTTTGTTACTTCAATAAAATAAGTAGAACTCATTCTTATATAAATATACATATTTCTTGATTATATATATATATATATATATAGTACAGGTAATAAATCCATTGGTATATAATCTGGGTGGATCCTAGTAATATCAGATGTTAAAACTGATCCACAGAGTGAGCTCAATGTATTTATTATAACAGCGCAAAAAAAAACAAAATTATCTCATGTGGGTATAGTCTATTTCAAACTGGCACAACCTTATGCCAGTCTTCTTCAGCCCTAGATTAACTATCTCAGAATCAGGGGTTTTGAATTTAGTTTAGATAGCAATCAGTCAGAGGGTACATGCCTACTCAAAGAGATGCCTCAAGGAGCCTGGGTTGGTGACAAGGGGAGGGTGTGAGGTATCTCCCTAAAGAGAAATAGGCCAGGATGGGAGTTTATTTATGACCAAAGCCTTTCATTGTATGTAAATGATTTAGGTTCATGCTAGGGGATACCAAACTATACCAACTGCATGTATGTTTTCATAGGATTGACAATAAATTGTATTTAGACAATAAAGGTTTTATATTATTAACTGATGGAGGATTTAAAGACAAAACAATTTTAAGTTTGAATAAATTATCTAAAAAATAGATTTCCTGATTCTGTAAGTAATACCAAAACACCCAATGAAATAAATCATGTTGTACAACACACACACACAAACACACACACACACATATATATATATATATATATATATATATACATACCTATACACACACACACACACACACATATATATATATATATATATATATATATATATATATATATACATATGTACCTATATATAGTTTTATATTTAGGCAGCAATCCTTTGTTTATGCATGTTTCATTAAAAATGACAGTCAAGGTACTACAGTTAAGCTTTTTATTTAATTTTCCTTGTGTTCGAACACAACAATGGAGTTTGGTAAGGTTGTGTGTTTGTTTAAATGGGTTCTAATGCTATGATCAGATTGGTCCAACGTAAAGCATCCGGATAAGCATATCGCTTATCCAGACGCCTTACGTTACACATATCTGATCATCTGAACACACAACCTTACCAGACTCCATTAGAAACATACTAGTAGAAAACACAAATATAATAAATTCATCCACTTGTAAAAAAAAGTTAAAAATAATGGAAGCTTTAATAATAAAAAAGAAAAAGCCAACTCTTAACAATATTAACTACAAAGAAGGCCACAATGTGCTAACCATATTCGGAAATTAAAATCATCTCTACAACACAGTAAAACATACACATAATGCACACACTCAATTAAGCTGAAAAAAAAAAAATATATATATATATATATATATGTATATCTACTTATATACATACTTACATACACATTTTTAACATGTTAAATAGTTTGTTAATTGTAAAAAATCATGTTGTTTTAATGTGATAACATTTATAAATTTTCTGAAACTACTGCCATTTATTCTTGTTAAATAAAAGTTGATAAATAACAGGCCATTATTTTTTAATGTTAACATATATATATATATATATATATATATATATATATATATAAAAATATATACACTATTTACATTATTCAAACTATTGTCCTCATCTTTGTTGCCATATTTATTACAACATTTCAGCCGTTGTACACTCTAGCCTTCTTCAGGTGGTTGGAATGTCAAACTGAACCCTTTATTTCACTCACTGGGGTAGACTGTTCTAGTTCCTCGTGCCATGTTTTAATGGATGCCAGTTGTCAGTTATCTCCTGTTAATTTCCCTCTCCAAGTTCTCAACTGCCTTAACCAGGTATTGAACTCACAACTCTTTGGGTCCTGTCACTGGATCTAATTAACACCTTTATCCACTGTGCCATGTGTCCTTGAGGACATCTGTGAATGAATTCAATGTATATATGAATTTTGGGGTATCATAAACCTAATGTCTTCAGCAAAAAAATTGAAAAAAATATATTAAATATTGAGGCACACAATAAAACAGGATTCTTACTCAGTGTGAAAGTGAAAGGGAAAGAGTTCCTTGATTTACCATTATTTATATGAAAAGAAGAAAAGTGTAGAAGCTAGCTCAAAACATTTGTGCATCTACTAAAAATTAAGCTGCGTAAAGAAAAATGTTGATAAGAAAATTGGAGACTTATATTAGTTGATAAGGTTAGAAACAGTCCTTGGCAGAGTGAGGCAGTGAAGTTCATGAAATGCTGTTAATGTTCTGACCTTCTCAAGGTCAATAGGTCAACATTGTTCTGGAATCGACTGTTGTTGAAGGAAGAGTGCCGAAAGAAAATTTGTTATGGTAAATTAGATGATACTACTATTTCTTTTTTTTATATCCCATGTCCTTTCAGGACATTGGTGATCATGCCTCTCCCTAACTTCCTGTCCTTTGTAGCTCTTAGTAAATTTTGTCTTTTTGCTATTTCTCCTAAACCCTGTTCTGTTAACCATTTGCACAAGCTCCTTCGTGCATATGGCCACATACGATCACCAAAGTTAAGCAACTTCGAGCCTGGTCAGTACCTAGATGGGTGACCAATTGTGAATACCAGGTGCTGTAAGCTTGGACGTGCAGATGGTTTAACGGATAACGGCTCAGAAATGTTAATTTGAGAGCCGAGTTCCAATTCTCATTCAATTCATTACATTCACTTGTATCAGTAAAATCATTATCTTCAAAAAAATTCTTATAATTCTTACAGTTAAGCAACATCAAGCCTTGTCAGTACTTTGATGGGTGACCACTTGGGTATACCAGGTGCTGTAAGCTTGGATGTGCAGGTGGTGTAACGGATAACGGCTCAGAAATGTTAATTGGTGAGCCAAGTTCCAGTTCCTGTTCAGTTCATTATATTCAGTTAGGTGCAAATACCCTTGGGAAAGGTATGAATCCACCTCTTTTCTCCAGCTATCGGTTAATTAGTAAGACTTGTATCACTAAACCATTATTATCAAAAAAAAAACGTGTATAAAATATTTAGATTTTTTCATTAAATAGCCCAAAGAGCTTGATATGCCACTAAATAAAAACAACCAATTAACAAACTCATTAGGTAGATTATGCACGGTTTTCAAATGTCCTGTGAATGTTAAATTTTCTATGCCCTTTTTCCTCATTTTGTGCCCTAGAAATTTCAGTTTCTCCTTCTAATACTGAGTATAAGTATACATTTTATTTCCATTTTGTCATTGCTCATGTTCAATATATGGTATTCTCAGCATCCTTCTGTTGCTTCAAGTTTCTTCTTCATCTGTGTGTAGATCATCCAACATTCACCACCATAGAGTAAGACTGTGTAAAATTATAATTATAGTAAGTAAGTTGTCTTTAGTGTTTATATTTCTGAGATGATGCATTATAACTCTTTTTACTATTTATATTATTCAGACAATTATTTCATTGAAAATTGCTGAAATTCATAATGGATTTTTGTTTCTTTATGCTCTGGCTTCTTCATGTGATATTTCTAATATCCATAAAGGGTTTGTTTAAAAATCCAAAAAATATCACCTGAAGAATGCCGGAGTATACAACAACCGAAACATTGTGAATATGGCAATGAAGATGAGAACAACAGTCCAAATAATGTAAATAGTATAAAAATTTAGTCTTTTTTTTATTTATACACATTCAAAATTGTCTGTGTTAAGTTTCATATGTTGCCCAGAGTTGTTGAAAACCTCATGGTTTTGAAAAAAATTCCTTTCTTTCCAGTCTTGGTGAAAATTCAAATTCTAATCTTCTTGATACGATCATTGACCATCCAAAAAATGACATAAATTTAATTCAAAATGAATTTCATTATTTAACCAGCTGATGCTTAGATTTGCATCAGAAGGCTTATGAAGCTAACTTTTCAAATTACTGTGTGTTTCAATTTCTATTCTTCACATTGCTTGAAAATAACCCAGAAGATGAATTTTCTTCCCAATCCATTTTTCCCACCCTAAATCAGAACAGAAACACCAATAACCAAACCTTAGAAAAACTCTTTTTTTTATTATATATATATATATATATATATATATATATATATATTTAATTTTGAAGACCATTTTTCCATAAAATATTAAAATAATTTATTCCTAATTTTTTCTTAAGCTGAAAAATCTTTTTAAAAATTCAAAAATAAACCAAATTTTCTCATTTTAATTGTTGGAAGTTCTATCTATAATGAACCTCTGAATCCTTTTAAAAGGATTTTATATAAATAAATTATACATATATATACTTTAAAGTGGTCTGTAAATAATTCAATACTAGCCATTTCTTAGGCTGAACTCTCAAAATTTCATCAAATCAAAAACATTTACCAATTCAAATGGAACAAGTTCTTCATAACTTAACTATAAATATATATATATATTTGCTATAAATGTGCAAAAACCTTGTGCACATGATAAAATGTCACTGTAAAAAATAAATTGGGTATGCCAATCATGTGGCAAAATTTGATATCAGTTGGGCTAAATTGAAGAGTCACCTGCTTTAGAATTTGAATGGGAGGGATGAGGCAGAAAATGAAATGAAGGAGGTGGTCATGCTATAAACTGAGAGGACAGCCAATATATATATATATATATATATATATATATATATATATATATTTCAAGAGGATGGTATTCAGGTAGAACTCAATGTCCAGAACAGAGCAAGAATATAATATAAAAGGCTCAAATACTAATATTCCATGGTTATAATTTATTACATTGGAATCGTAATTACAATCCAAATCATCAGACCTACATTTTTAGGTCTGAGCCTTTTTTATATATATATATATATATATATATATATGTACAAACAAGTTTGGTTAAATAATTTTGACATATCATGTCAATTAGTTTTTGTTGTGATCCTTTCAAGTTCGTAGATTAATTTCTTTGGTAGCCTTACAAAATTGATTAAAAACTAGTCCAAAATTTTCTTTCAAATAATTTTTTATTTTTAGCAAGTAATTTCAATCTCATAAGAGAAGTGGATCTTCATGGTTAAGTTGTCTAAAGTCTGTCTTGTTAGTAGAGTAGTGTTCAATGAAAAACTGTTCCTGTACAACTCAAGGAAATCCTTACAAAAATGACAGAAATTTGTTAGGTAGGCCTCTTCAAGGCAGAATGATTTCTCCACTTTTCTTTGGATTCTATAACAGACTATAATATATCATTATATTCTATAACAGACTATAATATATATAATGCCTTATAAAAGCAAATCTTTCTCAGATGCTTGAAACATTTATATCTTCATATCCTTATGTAAACAGAGCAATTTTTAAAGAAATAATGTATTAATCCATATATTTTATTACAAAAAAAAATTTATATATATATATATATATATATATATATATATATATATAGTAATCCTTATGAAAACAAATCTTTCTCAGATGCTTGAAACATTTATATCTTCATATCCTTATGTAAACAAAGCAATTTTTAAAGAAATGATGTATTAATCCATATATTTTATTACTTAAACCTCATATATATATATATATATATATATATATATAGTGCCTTATGAAAGCAAATAGACATTATGATATATAAATTTTAATAAAAATATTTGGTTACAGCAATGTTGGCATGGTCATATACTATATTTTGAAAATTAAAAAAAAAAAATACTTTTTTTGCAAATATTTTTTTTAATAAGCATTATTTGTTCTTTTAAAAAAAAAAAAAAATATATATATATATTTATGTTTATGCCTACATGTAATCATCAATTCATTTCTCTTGTTTAATAAGCTAGGGTTATATAAGTGTTTTACAATAACTAATTTTTCAACAAAGTATAAATTACATCTGTCACCTTATATATATATAGGTTTTGTTAAATGTGACTGAAAAGTTACTTTTGCTAAATTTTTTGTTATATTTTTCTCATATGCAAACAAGTGATTTCTTTTATAGCCTTAATGAGTCACCTAAACACTAAATGTGTGATCTAAATTCTTTCATATGTGTGCACATTATCAAACAAATTTCATAGATCAACTAGAATTATGCACAAGAATACTATCAAACAACACATGAGATCTATGTAACCAATGGAAAACAAACAACACAAAACAAAAATATACTAGATCTTTCTCTTACATATTTCAGTTGGGGGAAGCTTAAATATAAGCAAAAAATATTATATCTGTCTCTGATATTGAGTGCTTTCTAATAAGTACCGCGCATATAATATATAAATAATTATACATATATATATATTTATTTATATACACTTTTCACACACACACACACATATATATATATATATATATAAATATATTTTTTAAATACAAAATTCATTTTAAATTATCTTATTCTTCGTTTTTGTCCTCTGATAGACTTTATCAAGGCAAATCTTTTTCATTTGTTCCTTATCCTATCATTTTTTTTATTCTAATCCATATTCGATTCCAGTTCAGATTTAATGACTGTAGAAATTGTCCACATACTTATCGGTTCAAAATGGTTTCAGCTACTCTATTAACCATTTTCAGGTGGTTTAGTGATACTAATTTATTATTTCTTATACTGATGAAAAATGATTAATACATTAGATGAAAGATTATAATAGATTAGTTTGGAAATACAGAAAAGAAAACACTTGTTTGTATACAAAGAATATATAAGAAAAAAAATGACAAAGTTGAACTTTGTACCTGAAAAAACAAAAAAAAATGAAAGGAGAGTTTTCTCATTGATGCCACTATTATTATTTTAACTATATTCACTCCCCAGAAATGTTTATTGCTTTTAAAATGTGATGATGAGAATTACAGTAAAACCTAAACATATGATGAATATGAATTTACACATTTTCTTTGTTCTTGAGAATTGACAATGAAAATATAAATTTATTTATTACTAGCAGTACAGCCCGGTGGTGTTGTCCGGGGATGTAACAGTAAGAGATAGATCAAGTATTGACCATCATAAAGACTGAAAAATAAAATTGACAAAGATTATTGTTTAAGGTTGATGGACACGCATGTCTTAATTAGTTTTTTTTTTTTTTTTTTTTTTGGTCAAACCCAAACTCAAAACAAAAACATTGTTTTCAATTGTTATGAGTCTACCGATTGAATAGAATTTTATTATAAACAATTGTCTTGTAAATGGAATTTTTAAAGCATTCTGAATGTAAAAATAAAAAGAAAAAAACTGTGCAAAACAATAAGAAACACTACCTGCCAAAAAAAAAAAAGTTTTGTTGAAATCTTTGTTGAAAAATGTAGGAAAATCCGATCCCATATATAAAACGAAACACACACACACACACACACAAACAACCTGGGTTTTATAATAAGTATAACTCGATATGAGTTGTCCCCCTTTTATTTTTGTGATAGTGATGTCTCGTATTTTCAAATTGATTTTGTGCAAAAACAATTGTGTTTTTTTCCAATTTTTGGCACTGTCAGAACCACCACAAGGTAATTTTATGTAGTCCTGTGAAGTTTTGTTGAAATCAGTTGAAAAATGTAGGAAATCCGATCCAATATATAAACAAACAGACATACACACACACACACACACACACACACAACCTGGGTTTTATA